AACAACACACCTACACTCTTCAATTCAATCATATTAATATATACAATCTACATTTTAGTATACAATGGTGCAAACACAATCTACAAAGCAATTTGTCAAAACTATTAGCAGAGCACAAACTATAGCAATGTGGTCCTCCCAAAAACGCAATATAGAATAGAAAAGCCATGTATCTACAATTAACTGAAACTCCACTTGGCGTTATATCAGCAATAACCAAAAAGCTACAACAAATATTATATCACCAAAATTAAGCCATATGAAAGCCTTTAGAGTTAAAAATTTGCTTAGTGACTTACCCACCTACTCACACTTCCACCTTATTTCACCAAAATCTACCATACTCGTACTTGCTTTTCATGCAATAGCCCATAATTAGCAACTCATTGGCTTACTTGCAACAATTCCCATACTCTCAGTCAGATTGTACACACCTCAATTACAGAGATTATTATCAAACTGTTTACTGATGTACTACTTACACTACAAAAAGAGATCACAGACCTAATCAAATCTCATCCTTCTTTTAATTACTCTTAGCACCCCTTCTCACAATTATACTCACTATCAATAACCCTAAAAGGGCTTATTTCTTTCCACCTACTACAAGCATTATCTGTGCTAGAGATACAATACAAAGAAGCCTTAAATATTATTATCTAAATACTACTACTTATATCCTCAGAAATATATGAACAAATTTGGAAACCATACTGTAATAAATTTGCTAAATGGAAAAAAGAACACAAAATACCAACCTATAACCAAAACCTCTCTTTACATCAACAGGCCCCCATCAAACCCACCAATCATACAAAAATTTCACATATAGCTGCCTTTGTGGCTTGCCAGACCAGCTCCATACTGACAATAATAGCTGCCCTCCCAAAGGGCAGGCTCAGCAGAAGTTTAACCAATAGTCTGAATTATGGATCCAATATAGCATGTCTACAAATTATATATTAACTATTAATTCAGATAAGTTTTGACCACTCTAGTAGGTTTAGGTCGCAGATAATTAGTTTGAGGCTTTAGTTTTTTTTAGTTCAATCTTTTAGTTTGAGCTCTTATTCTTGCATGTAATTTATATCTATTTGTCTTGTACAAGTTGGGTTTTTATTATAATCACCTAAATAAATTACCAAATAAAGATATGAGCAAGGCCTCACCTTAATAACAAAAAAAAAAAAAAACTTTGTATTAAGTAGTAAATTAATAATGTAAGTATTATTGCTATATAGACTAAAGATCATATTGCATTTCTAATAAAGATTACAATTATTAAAAATAAATTGAATTACTTTAACTACTTTTTAAAATATAACAATAGTAAATATATTTCACAAATAATTTATTTGCATATTAAATTTTTGTCAATATGAGCTGGGTTTGGATTTGTTAGTAATGAATATTAATTTATTACACTTTATATATATCTATCTATTTCTAAATATAGTCAGTACTGTATAATTGTATACTATCCATAGAGACTTTTTTATATATATAGACAATGTGTGCATTTAAGTCATAAGAACTATTTTTGCATTTATAATTAAAAATCAAAAATTTTTATACATTTAGAGAGTATATGCAATTATACAGTATCAACTGTATATGATAAATTCTTTTTTTTTTTTTTTTTTTTAACGGTATCCACTTTATTAATTTTCAGTAGTTAAGTGTTTTTTTTTATTGAGACATACAAGGTTTTATTAGTACAGAAACTTCTAAAAACTATACCCCACCAACTCTGTAACAAAGCTTTACTCAGCTGCTCTAAGATGTCCAAGTGTAACTGTTTAGCCACAGGTTTTTCTCTCCTTTGGCCTCTAACTCACTAGAGAGTTACTCTCCAAATTAACAGAAGGTCATGCTTACCCTTATTTATATATATCCTGCTATATACACTACTGTACAATATCTATTAGTTATAATCTACCTCTTATCACTTATCATATTACTACTAATCCGTATCTTATATAACTTCCAAATTGGTGTCTTAGGAGTGGGCGCTCTTTTTGCTTCCAGTTTGGTGTTCCTCAAGATGTTACTTCAAATTCTAATCTGTATCTCAATCCAGATGCCATCCAAAGACCTGTATCTCAAGCCAACTGCTGCCACCATTAGAAGAGCTGTTTGCATGGTTCTAGGTATTCATGTCATACACCACTTAATTAGGCTACCCCCTTTTTTAGTACTCCCTATTGGTATAGTGATACAAAATCTAGATCCTTAAGACAGGAGTTAAGAACCTCATTTAATTACTGCTACAAAGCAGTAACCTGGGACCTGTGCTTCTGCTATATTTTGTCATAGACTCCTATATAGGTTGTGTGACTATACTTACTAGCTATTTTTAGTATTTGTACTACCAGAGTGCTTGCTTCTATACTTTTCAGAGTTTCTTTTAACCAGTTTTTCTTGTTTCTTTATTGCACCAGAGGTGTTCTAAAGCTATTCTTTTATTACAGCCTCTTACTATATTCACCACTTCTCTCACCACTTCTAGATATACTGCATATAGCTGTTCTCCCAATCAAGGTCCCAATGCCACCTTAGGGTTGTTGATATTACCTTGCCAATTGTGAATTCATATGCATAGCCTTCTGCAGTAATATATTTTGTAATTCATATTACATGCAGTGCCCGATCTTCTCCATGGCTCGAAATATATACTTTACATAATCTTACCACCACAAGGTTTCACATTCAAAAGCCCTATAAGTTACAGAGATAATTAATTAAATTAATTACCACCAGCTGTAATTGAACCATCAACCTCGTCTGTAGAGGGTTAGGCATCTAGACCACTAGGCAACAGAACTCTAATCCTTGTGATAAATTCTTTGTTATGGATATTTATTAGTTTGTAAGCTTCTTTATATAAGTTTATTGATTTTTTAACTTTTTTAGTTCTTAAAATTATGCATTGTAATTGATTAATTATTATAAAAAACCATAGGTAGATACAAAAATTGACTAATTAAATAAATATCTTTATATAATATGCATAATGTATATTTCTTTTTAAAATAATTTATTAATAATTAAAATTTTTGATATATAAACTAAAAAAAACTACAATTTTATTAACCTGCCTCTCCAGCCTATATATATGCAGTGTATAAAATCTATGTATACAATGTGCTTATGAGTACATGTTTTTAAAGTTTTCACATGTTTTTAGCTAGAAATATGCACAAAATTCACAAGCCACATAGTGCATCAAATTTATTAATAAAATCTTAACTTTGTGCACATAGAGCACGTTATGCACATAGTCTATTTTTAAATATATAAATTAAATAGATATTTATATAAAGTATTTATAGTATTATAAAAATTTATAATACACTAATTTTTAAAATTATTCACATAAATTAAGTGTACAATGTGCACAATATTCACATGTTTTTGAGATAAGATTTTATATACTGTATATATGTAAATTGACTTCAACTATCCACAACTTCAAGAGGTTGATTAAATGAAAATTTTTATAATTTACAAAATGTGAGCTATTCTTAATAGGAAGATGAATAGATTATGCTCTAAACCAGTTATTCCATGTTCAAATTCTTGAATAACTGTTATTAATTATGCACCTTGTGGCTACTTTATTTTTTCTTGCTCTAAATCCAACAATGCTTCCAAGAATCAATCTGTGAAATGAATAACTAATCCTTGACTTACTCCAAGAATATGTTCTAAAACCCAAATATCTGCTCCATTAGCAAAGCACCACAAAACAATAGCAATTTGCTTCCATACAGGTGTAGCATTAAGAGCTTCAGATTGAAAGACAGAATGTGTTTTTAATCAAAATACAATAGTTCTAAATGTTGAGAAGGTAATAAGAAAATGTCACCAAAAAGAATTATAACCCTCATCATAAGTTAAATATGGAAAAACTTTAATCCAGAATCCACCAGTTTTAGGTCTTAGTTGCTGTTGAGTTACTGCATCAAATGAAGAGATTAATGCTGGAATAGTTGAATTTGTTGCCATTTGGGTAAAATCTAAGAGATGGCAAGTATTTGATATCATTTCTTGGGCTTCTCGATTTTTTTATTTTTCATAAAAGCTTTTAATGCGAGAAGTAAAATAATGTCGCGGATGATGGTGAAATCGGATGATCGTGAAATCTGGGTGCCTTAATTTAAAAATATAAACCCTACTAAAACCCACTTATACTCTTCTATTATAAACTCTAACCCTAAATCCTAGTTCAAATCTAAAAAAAAAAAATATTAAAAAATATACCCTAAAAATTTTTAAAAATCGTATATTAAATAGGGGTTGATTCACGATCATCCAATTTCACGATCATCCGTGACAAATAATAATACGTTGTTGTTTGAAATGATGATTCATGGTAAAGTTGCTTGAGCGATCTCTTTGAATACTCTATTGATCGTAAAATTTTCAAAGGTAGGTATAAAAAAAAGGTGTCTGTTGTAAAAAGTTTGTTGATTGAAATGAAAAATTCATTTAGTCTTTTACTAATAAAAAAATGTTTATTACGTAATAAACTTTTTAATTTACGCATATTCGTAATGATAAACACGCTTAATTAATTTTAAATATTTTCCGCTATTAAAATTTATTCCCAGACACTTTTTGACTCATTGATTGAGGCGCTTGAGAGCGACCTAGGTCTTAATCGAATAATTATATAATATTGAGGTCATGTTAATATGAAATGAATTAAGATGTGAAATAATTATTATTAAAACAACGGAATGAAAAAAAAACATTAAGACAAGTTAATAGCCACGAAAATTACAACTACGCAATATAAGTTAACAATGAAACTTTATTGTAAAAAAAAAAGTGTGGGCGTATATAATACTTAATTAAACTTTGATCAGGTTTTAATTAGGGTGAGGTCGTAAACAGAAAGCCTGAAATCTTGGCTTAGCTCGTTTATTTTACGTATTTATTAAATTACTAAGCAGTTAATTTTGTTTGCAAACTTTTAAGATAAAAAAAGTTAAGAAATGAGCGAACAAATTATAGAAATTCCAAGTGAACAATCCACACCACATAATGAAAAAAAAATTACAAAGATTGTGTGTTCTCCAAAATTAAAGTATGTTGCAACTTGGAGCGATGAAGACATGTCAGCTTGTATATATTCTATTGAAGATCAAATGAATCCGGAATTTGAAAAATGCTATTCATTAAAAGAACAAGTCGAGCATGGTCTTTCAGAAGAGATGAAAAATGATTTTTTAAAGGCTAAAAAATATGAACTAAAGCTATCAGATCAAAAGCATATTGTGTTGATGCCTTATAATAAAGGTTACAGACACGCAGGTTAGATATCAGTATACTGTAGTGTAAGCAACCTAAAAAGTACGATGCTGTTTAAGGGAAAGCAAGTTTTGACTTTAAATTTGTATCTTATTTGATTCATTCTATAAATGCTTTATAGGTTGAATCTATAAGTTATAAATTTAAGAACTCGAAGTTTGTTTTCTTAACTGTTCCTAGGTTGTTTTTACTATTCCTTAAAATATGGCATTCCAAATTATATAACCATATATTCTAATCATATATTCTAAATTTCAAAACATCAATATTTATGTACTAGCACTTTTTACATTAGAGCATACATTAAAACACTACGAAGTAAAAATTTTAGAACCCAAAGATAATAAAAAAGAAATAATTGAAAGTAATTTTATAGTTAACGAGGGCGATTATTATTTACTTATCAGAGGGGAAAAAAATTATAAGAAAAATGATAGTACTAACAGTATCACAGGCTATATATTCGAGTTATGTGGAAAGCTTAAAAAAATGTTTAGAATTTCAAAGTATAACTATTCAAAAGACCATATAGTGCTTCATAATAATGGATATATTTTTATATACAAACATGATACACATATTATCATGGCATGGAACACCATAACTTTGGAATCTATTGCTTATTTGACTACTGAATGGGAGATTAATTGCATACGTAACATAGTAATAAATGAAGAAGCAACTCTATTGGCTATTTGGATCAATAACTTTATATACATATATTCGATTAAATTTCAGCTTATGATATCAATCCGTAAGTTATATTTATTTTTATTATTTTATGACTAAAAATAAGTGTCTATTTTCTAATCTTATTGTTAATACATATATTCACTAGACAATGTTGGTTATAATATAATAAAGTGTCATTTTATTTCATTCGAAGATAGAGAATGGTTACTTGTCATATGCAAGCAGAAGCATTTCTATTTATTAGACCCTTATATTTTCACTGAGAAACGTAATAAAGAAACAGAGGAAATATCCGAATTAGAATTAAATCAACTGTATTTAATTAAATATAGTATGGTTTTTTATATTGATGAGAATAAATTGAAAGTCCAAAAATTTCCCAAATCTTGGATGTATAAGCTTAATAACGTGAACTCTAACTTGGTTGCAACAGAAGTATTTGAAGAAATCGAAAAAGATGATGAATCCATTCCATATCAACTTGATGATAAATGGGACATCAAAAATCATCAAAATAAGGTTATACTGTCTTATAATAATGTTGATAGTGTCAAAACTGATATACCATATTCTGGAGTTAATAATGTTGATAGTGTCAAAATTGATATACCATATACTGGAATTAAAAGAATTAAACTCTTAAAGAATAAAGATTTATTAATGAGTATGAGAGATGAACATGAGGATTGTCCAAGTGGAAATATATATATCTGGACTATTGCTAATGTCAAAGAAATACCAAAAATACGATTAAGTTATTTCTGGAGTAGTTCAACATCATTTCAAAAGGAATATAAAGAATATTTACCATATTTACCCCCTCCAGAATTCGAAATCGAATTAAAAATAGAAAAACATGAAACAATTCATGAACTTAATGAATTGATAATTGAAGATTATGCTAATTCACGATTTAAATTAAGTCTTTATGGAAGACGATTAATGGAACATTTATTAGAAAATGAAAAATTTGAGTTTATCGAAATGTTACTGAAAAATATAATTAACTTGACTATTAAAAATAGTGATAAAAGTTTTATCTCAAATCTTCCATTAGTGAAAATAGTTACTTATAATTTTCGCGCACTAAGTCATTATTCTGAGATTATAAATTGGTTTTTATGTAAAATCGCTTTTTTTGTACCTGATGACACATTATCAGAAATAATTAGCACAAATTCGACTTCTAATCATCTTCAAAAATTTGGTGAATACCCTAATATTTTTGATATTTCTTTAATTTATCTTAAGATAGAAAGTTTTTTAAATCTCGTAGTTACAAATTTCAAACATTTCAAGCATCTCTTGAAATTTGTAATACCATTACCTAAATTTTCACCACACAAACGAAAGAAAAAAACTGTTAAACTAGTTTTTCCTTTAATGGGACTTACTGATTATTCTATTGGAAGTTATTTGATGAGAAAACTAGACTTTGAATATAATATTATGGAAAAAAAATTTATAGTATTTATAGATACTTTATTTGATGCATACAGTTCTTTTGGTTTTTCACCAGAGACTAATTTATATGAATTATGGATTGGTGAAGCACTTCTTACTTACAAATGGAACACTTACGGAAGGGCTATCCATATTACGACCTTAATTATTCATATTTTTTGCCTTATTTGTTTTGTGCTTACTGTGATTTCTTATGATCAAATTCGACCATTTATTCGATTATTTATACTATCTATTGTTATTGTAATTACATTTATTGATTATATACTAGACTTGATATATTTGATTTATGAATCACGAATGAGAAAAATTGATATTTTATTCTTTACTGGTATGTTTAAAAATTTAATTAATTTTTTTTTTTTGTACAAAATTTAGTAACATTATTTTGTCTTTTTTTTTTTAGCTGATACTATAGCAACTTACTTTATGCTATTTGCAGCCTCAACTATAATTTATTATAAAGATTCAAAATCATATTCAGGCTGGTTTTATAGTATTGATAATAATTATCTTAATCTTAGTGCATATATTACTTTCGCGATTTTATTACTTGAATTGAAAATTTTATTAAATATTCATACTTTTGAATTTTTTGGAACTGAATTTGCAATTATATTTGGTGTATTCAACGAAGTACTTCCTTTTATCGTCACCCTTGTGCTCTTTATATTTATATTCACTAGTTCTCTTCATATTTTATTAGAATTAAACTCTGGTTCAAATGAATATTGGAGTTTAATAGATTTTATTGTTGCTCCATATACTACATTGACTGGTAACTTGTTTTAAAAAAATATACTAGCTTAATAATTAGTCTATAATATTAAACTTATTTTTTATTGACAGGTGGACCAGATATAATTTCAACACATGAATATAAGAAAGAACTATCCGGATTATTGTTGATACTTTTATTAATTGCGATTTTATTTTTTGTTGCTATTTATATGATGAATTTGTTTAATGTGGTAATTAGCAATAAAATTGGTGATTTAAACAATAAAACTTCATTTTTATATTATAAAGCTAAGGTACGTATGTTTTTTTTTTTTTAATTTGCAATTTAATATTTAATAGATTTCAGTAATATTTAACATTCATTTATTATATATTTGAAGACTTTGTTTAGAATTGAACAAATTTATTTGCTACCATATCACAGACAAAAAAAGGATTGGTTCCCAGAAATTATGTAGGTCAATTTTTATAAATATAAATTAATTATATATCTTTAAAAATAAATTTAACAATTTCTCTTTAAATAAAGTTTTTTTGAAGCTCATCTAGATGAACTTCGTAGAGTTGTTAGACAAATTCAAAATAAAACTTGGCCGGGTCTTTATAAACCATATATCTCCCATGTTCTTTTGGAAGCAATTCAGATGAAATCAAAACCTGGTCAAGATAATCAAGATGATTAATATGAGATAATAAAAACAATTAATAGCTAGTATATTTGCATAGTTCTACTAAATCTAATGATTTATTATGCTCAGTTTTTTATATTATAATAATGATAATTCAATAAGATAATAAATTAGAATTCGGTATTATACTTTTGGTGTACAAATGCTAGCTATTATTTATTGATCAAGCAACTGGTTATTGTGTCGTAAAAGAATTTGTATTTAAACTAGGCGCTAGAGTTGCTTAAAGGGAGCTTGAGATAAATGTAATAATACCTGATATTGTATAATGCAGCACAAGG